ATGAAAAAAGCAAAAGAATGTAAAAAATAATCCTTTTGACCTCACCGTAGCAAGAAAAGCAGTGAAGTAGTAGCAGACGTATCCTGAATGCTAGAAACTGCATATTCTTTTTAAATCTAACAATTAAATGAAACCCAATAGGCAAGACTCTCTAGAACTATATAGAATCTCCATGGAGATCATTTTAGACTTGGATCTCTTAGCTTGACATATTTTGATCTTTCTCTTGAAATACACCAATAGACAAAAAGGGAACGGACAATGACGACTGGGAGAATGAATTGGTCAGAAGGGGCACGGCAACTTGATTTGCAAGAACATTCTCCCTCCCACTACACCCACCCGATCAAAATCGACTCTGAGTCAACGGTTCAGTAACGTCAGTACTCGAAATAGCAGATTATCCACTACTTATGCACTGAGTTGCTCCAAAATATTTACACGGAAGAAAAAGGAACACCTTGAAGATGGACTTTACTAAATGATAATGGGGCAAGTTCAAAGCAACGCGGGAGCAAGAGGGAATGGACGTCAGACCTTAGACTTAGGCAGAAATGTGAGTGAGACTCTCCAGTGAGGCCCAGGGCAGGTCCTAATCCTACGCGTGGAAGCTGGAAGGACCTGGATAGGCACTGGTGCCAGGACAGGCAGAGACAAAGGTTTGCAGTCATGTTCCTCTGAAGTACACTCAGCAGAGAACTTTTCTTGCCCAGCGTCAGCCTGAAAAGATCCTCTTGAAACAGTGGAGGACATTTGGGTAGAAAGTACCGGGCAGAAGGCATGAGTGAGGCATGGTGTGTGTGTTGGAAGCAAGTGGCCTCTCCTTGAATCTCTGCATTAAAGGGATTTGTGCAGTAACAAATGGGAAGTCTCTGAAGTTAAAGGCTGAACTTGGAAACGATGCAGCCTGGGAAGCTCTTTAACTGGTAGAAAGGCACTGACTCACGAAGTAATAGACATGTCATACACCGGGGAGCGATAAATAAAAACATGTGTCAAATAATCTAGGTCAAAACCAGCAAAGATGCTCTCATAGTCTTTTCTGGATAAGAGATTCAGCAATACTTTTCCATGGAGCAGTTGATAGTAAAAAAAAAAAAAATCAAAACATTCTACTTACACGTGTCTTCTCTTACATATGCATGATGCCACATTATTCAAATTTAATCTGTCCCTGAAAATGTATATGGGCTGCCAAAGCAAGCACATGGCCCTGAAAATGTGATGGCATCAAATTTTACATCAAAGGAGACTATATAGTTCATTTCTCCTTTTATTAATGTATTAAACTTTTTAATATGGACATTTTCAAAAGTTCACAAATGCAGAGAGAGTATAGTGAACCCCTAGGTCTCCATCACCTAGCTTCAACAATAAATTCCAATGAAAAACAGTTTTTCAAGGGAAAAATAATGTTTTGCAGCTCATTCGAAACTGTCAACAAGTTATCCCAAATATTACTAACCTCCTCTCATATACCAACAAAACAATCCTCTAAGGATTTCTGGCTATTAACTACAAAAGACATATTTTTACAATTACAAAGACATCGTTATTCAAGTCTGAAGGTGCATCATAACGCTTTCCAAACCACTGAAATCTCTCCAGAAGCTTGTAGAACTTTCCAGAATCAACCACAGTATGCCTGGTAGACATAGGCAGGCAATGGTCAAACTGACGCCTTTCATGTTTTCACATTTCCAGTATTTCTTCCAATTGTAAGAGATTTTCTAGCTTCTTAGGCTCATCGTCTCTCTCGAGAGATTCTTAGACATTTTCGGTTGATAATATGGATGCAAATGATGCATAACACATTTATTAAACAGTGTGAGCACAGGATGTCCTGAGATGGGACCACACAGCATCCTCTCGATCTGGTTGCCCTCACTGATGGCACAGCATGTGGACTAGTCATAGCGAGTCTTTGATGCAGAGAGCAAGTTTGTTATAACAAATATTTGGGTAGCCGTTCAGATAGCAAGGTGTACCTGATGATGTACATTGAATGGTTAGAGTTTCTTAGTTTTTGTCCACTTACTTCAGTGTTTCAAGTCACAAGCATAAAGCTCTCCTCCAAGCACTGTTAAGGAGAAGTTCTTAAACTGAGTGGACCCTGCAAAGATTTGTGGCCGTCGCTTGGTTGCTCAAATCTGATCATCAAAGAGTAACTCCCAAAACAACAGTTTTATTATTGTGGGTCAGTATTAGCAGCTGAATTGTGTCCTTCCCAAAATGTATATGTGGAAGCCTTAACCCCCAGTACCTCAGAAGGTGACTGTATTTGGAGATGGGGGTCTTTAAAGAGGTAATTACATTAAAACGGGTTGGTTAGGGTAGGTCCTCATCCAATACGACTATAGGAAGAAGAGAATCGGACACAGACAACTCAAAGAGCATGTGAGGACACAGGGAGAAAGAGGCCACCTGCAGGACAAGGTGAGAGGCTTCATGAGAACCCAGATCTGCCAACACCTTGATCTTGGACTTCAAGCCTCCAGAAGTGTGAAACACATTTACATCTGTATTTTAAGTCCCCCAGCCCGTGATATTTTGTTAAGGCAGCCATAGCAAACTAGTACAGTTAGTAATGGAGGTCACGTAATCCGAGCTGCAAACGTGGCCTTTAATTATACCTGGAGGCTGTGGATTCATTGCATGGGGAAAATATTTGTTGACAGGGCTGGCCGGGCATATGCAATGTAATCTAACCTTTATGACAGATTTTGATGACAATGAGGTGATAGTTCACTGTATGGACTCAGAGTCAATAAATCATTATTGCAGTGATTTGTCAGATCCTAATAGGAAAGCTTGCTGAAAACTTAAGCGGATACCACACAGGACATATGTGAAGTGAAACACCCCTGAGCCAGGGGTCCTACTTTGCATCTCCTCCGATCTTTTAGATACCAAGACTGATAACATTTAACTTTTTGGGATAAAGAAGGTAGTAGTGAGACATAGAAGTGTGATGGTATATACATGATGATGTTGAGAGTGTATGAAAGTATTTTAAATATTTCAGAAATCAGTATATATATATCATTTTGAAAACAGTAAGCTGTATTAAGAAAGAAATCGTTGTCGGTACACAGTAACACTGAGGATTTTGTGGTTGCAGTGGACTTTCAATTACACAAAAGAGCATTAAAGTAGCAGCAATATTTACCAATATTCTCTTCAAAGTGCTTTTCAAACACTAAATAATTACCCAATTAAGCTGCTGCAAGATAAGCTGTTATTACTCTGGATTTAGTGAAAAGGACTAATAATTACTATTTTAACAGTTTCTGTGAAGACTCAATGTTTACTTAACATGACTGCGAGGATACCCCACCTTTTTAGTGAGCGGGGAACAGAAAAAAACAAAAGGGAGATTAGCTGAGTGAATTCGAGGGAAGACAGAGGCCAGTGAAGAACTAAGAACCATGACGAGTGAAAACAGAGAATTTAATATGCACCACGGAGCCCACAATTGGCAGGAGGCTGTTTATGAGGACTGCCAATATTCACGCCGCAGACCGACAATGCAGAAACTTTGGCCGTGCCCTGAACGACATCATTCATCACACCCATGCTTAGGGGAGTCATGTCCCAGCAATTTGTCATCATCGTACCACTCGTGTGAACAAGAGCGGGGGAGGGGACGTTGAGTGCTACCCTCCAGGGAGAGTGGATTTATAACCAACCTCCCTACGAGAGCAGCGTGGCGCTCTCCAGCTAAATGCTCCCTGCTCCACTTCTGTTTCAGTCGGAGTAAAAGGGTGGGCACATTGCCTCCAGGACGCTGAGCGCAAAACCTAGGTCTGATACTCCTAGATCCAAAATACGGTAGCCAGGAAATCCCTCTTAAAATACTCTTTGAGCTGCTTTCAAAAAGTTATTCAATGGTCGAGTGTGGATGGTTCATCTCAAATGTCCTTTGGTGACAAAATAATTTCCGAAATGCATCCATTGATAACTATATCTGGAAAGAATTGTCTCTTCCTGCGAACATTGCTCTATATTGGAAAACTTGGAAGGATGCTGGGGAAAAAAATATTTTATGTGTATATGTATATTATTTTATGTGTATATATATTTTATGTGTGTATATATATATACACGTATATATATACACACACAAAATATATATATAC